GATTCGTATATTCTTGAATAACTGGAAGACAAGCCAGCAGGTGCTGGTTGGTGCAATGCTGTTTTTATTTTGAAGTGGAATAAACTGAAGGAAACCAAATAAACTGACTTTAATAGTATGCTATTTCGCACCAAATTATCGCCGGCTCACCATATTCTGCAATCGACGGCACACGCCTCTGCTTATCATGACTTAGATGACACATAAAGTCGTTTGTTACGGGCTCATGTCGGATGAGCAAGCCGCATATTCAACGGGCAATGGACGGGTTGGTGTACGCTGCCATGGGTAGTGGGCGGGCCGATTGAGAGACTTCTTACCCACGAAGGGCTTTGCCGTATGCTAGCGGCAGGGTAATTATAAAACATATGTATCTGCACATACTGGGGCGCAGTCAGAGCCTTGGTGAGGGGGAGTGGGGCAAGAGGTTGGCAAACAGAAGGTTGGCCTTTTGCTGAAAGACCCAAAATAAAATCACTGGTATATCCTGCTTGATTTAGAGGGGTACGGTTGTAAACATGTTATCTTTATGTGTACCCTCTGAAACCTGGAGTCTTTACCTGAAACGGAAGCCAGAAACTACTCAAAGTTCAATTCTGTTTTTGTTTTGTCAATAAGCCGGCGAAAGCGAACGTGAAATAACTCCATGGAATAAGCCGCCGGCACTATTAATTGCACAATGGTGGAGTGGATTTTTTTCTGAACCGATAAAGCTCAGAGGCTTTGACAGTTTTACATCGGTTTACAGCGATCTTGAGGTCCCCGTGAACGTACATTGTGTAACGCAAAGTGGTCAAAAATATGGAGAACATGGCAAACCCATGTTCGTCGGGAAAATTTAACCTTAAATTAGGATCGATCAATGAGAAACATTACATGACGTAGTTGACCATTAGCGTCCACATGTCTTTGGAACAAATAACCAGACGGCCGGCGTTACAGCTGCCATAAGGTAAGCAGCGTCGGCATTACGGCTAACACTGAGCGGCGGCCAACGGACGGTGACGGGCGAAAAATGCAGTGCATCTGTAATAAGTGCTTGTGGATGCTTTAAGCCATCATTTTTTTACGTTTAGGAGGCAGCCCAAGCGTAAGTTTTTTTTGTTCGATTTTTAGATGGATTATTGTAATTCTCGTGCGGTGTTACTGTGAACACCCGAGTCTAATCTTGGTGCGCCACAAATTTATTTCTTAAAACTACTTTCGGAAACATAATTTTGGTCGTTCTCACGCACACGGCACGTGCTGCCTGGTATTTATCTCCTGCAGTGGCCAACGCCGTTTGGTTTTACGGAAACTGGAACTCTGGCCTGTTCGTGTTCGTGTTCCTGAGACTGTACGCGCGTAGGCTCATTTTTTCTTAATTGTCTCTCAGATCGATTCTACAAAAGAAAAAAACATTTCCCGGCAAAGTTAGGTAGGCCTTTCTAGTTGTGACGTCATTTAGAGTCACACCTTTTGAATACTAATGAGACTCCTTACCTTTTTTGCGGACAAGGGCTTATATGCGAGAACACTAGGGTTCACGACCAAGGGCTGAAGGGCCGTTCCGTCCAGCGCGGGGTGCCTGCCGGCTGTCATTCCAGCGACACGGGGGCGGGGTCCCTGGTCGAACCGCAGGCCCCAGAAGTTATATCACGCATTGGTCCCCTCCATGACGCGGGAGGCCCTCTAATCCGGACAGTAAGCCCCAAATTCACGCAGTAGCCCTCACTGACGCAGCAAAATCTTTATCGCCACAGGAGTCTAACTATTAGCGCGGAGACTAATTATAACCTCTCAGAGACTAACATCAGCTATTCACGGGCTCAGGCCTTGATCCTGCTCACGAAATAGGCCCCCAAGGCTCAAATCGACAGGGAGCTGTCCGATGTTGACGGTCTCTGAAATAACCAGAGCAGAGTCCCGCATTGTCCCAGGGGCTTCTCATTTGGTTAAGAGGTCCTCTTGCTGACCTTTGTGGCCATGGCCCTGCGGGCCGGGATTCTCAATATGAGCTTCAGTCAGCCCGACAGGTCCTTCAGACCCTTCAGCCTTCCAATCGGGCCCTTGATCGCCGGTCCCGGTGCGCTATGGGACCCTCTTCTGCCCCCCCCCCCCCGCCTCGAACACTGACCCTGGCGGACTCAGGGCCCTTTGCCAACACAGGGCCCCTTGTTGGTACCGCGGGCCCCTGGCTGACACGGGAGCTCCACATTGACTTAGGGCCCTGACCAATGTAAATCGCGTGCGCGTTCTTTCCCCTGCTTGGGAAATGAGCTCTCAGGCGCAGATCGATACGATGTGGAAGGTGCCTGACTGACATAAATGCCCTCGTCGTCTCAAAGGGCCCTAATCGGCGCAGAGAGCCCTCTGACTTGCTTTGAGGGCCCGGCCCGCAGGGCCAAGCCTACTAATGCAAACCTGAACCAGCCCTTCGGGCCCTCAAATTGGACCCATAATTGCCGGTCTTGCGGGGGTCACGTGCCTCTGGGCCCCCCCTCCGTCTGTGCCACTGGTCCCACCGCACAAATCTGGATGATCACATATCACAGATGCTCAACATGCATAAACGTGCAAGAACGGGTAAGTCAAACATTACAAACGTATTGATACGGCTTCCAAACGGGTGACCCTATTATCTTGCAACTCACTGAGTAACGCTCCCCTCCCTCCCCTCCTCGCGCGGAATAATAAAACATGCTAAGTGTATAGACTGAAGACAACAGAACATGTTTCACCTTCAACACCATTCGTTGCATTAGTATGGCCATGAGGTCATCGCTAATCCTTTGCTGAGGCATCTGCACGATCCCTCTGTTGCTTCTGTCCTGCACTTACGTCGCATACAAACTAGGCAATAACTGCATGCCTTTTTGCCCGAGATGCGATATTGACGAAATGTCAATGAACCAAAATGGAATGTTTGCTGAAAGTTTGTTTGTCGACCCTATTTTTAACTGCATGTTCACTGCGGACGTCGACTTCAGTCGACTGTTAATTGCTGAAATGCTCTTGCCGAACACCTCCTGCCGAATTGTCATTTAGACGACTGCTGATTTGTCGAAACGCTCTTTAGTCGAACCACAATCAGCCAAGTAGCCCAATGTTCATGCGCTGAAATGTGTGTTATAAGTTGTAGGTAGAGTATTTTTTAATGGGCAATGGTGGCACTTTCATTTCAGCCTGCATTTCCATGCGATATATAGTATTATAGCATATACAATGCAGAAGCGTACAGTTTTTTTAAAGATTTGATCCGAACCCTTTGAAAGAATGGATTTCAGGGATTAGAGCTCATGCTAAGCAGCGCTTGTTGTGTGAGCCCTAACCCCTACCACCCGATCGCGCAATTCCAGGTCGGCGGCAGAATTTGGTGGCGAAAGCTTAACGTGCCGCAATGCTCGGCACGGTCCGTTCTGCCCTCTGACGTCAACTGACCTTCAGCGAGACCGCTGCCGCCGGCCGCAGGCCATACCTGTCTCGATTATTTGCCTGAAATAGGCTACCTTCACATGAAGTAGATGTGAGCGGTACATTGCAGATTCAAACACATGTTCACGTGCTACCAGTCATACCAAGTTAAAAAAAAAACAGAATTATGCATCTTCCCTGAACACTGCGTTTTCAGGTCAGAATCAAGAAAAATAAGTACAAAATTAAGAACGCGCTTAATCTCATCACCGTGAGCAAGGGTTTGACAGTCTAATCACCTACCTTAGACCACGCTATTAAACATAAAAAACAAAAATGTCTTAACTTGGGGTAAATTCCAACTCCATCTTCTCCATACTTACACGGATTGACGAGGTTATTCCATGTCTTTATCAATATTAGTTAGCTTCCACTAACCCCAACACCCTCATTAATGCGTAGATAAATTCATGCGGGGGTGCTCACGGGTAGCAATTCAGTGAATTTTCCATGGTCTTATGCATATTTCTTCCTAATGATTCGGCTAGTTTATTATTTGGCATATTGACATTCGTCTCACTGCCGTTCTTGAAAACCACATTGCGACCAAAAAGTCGCTTATTTGGCTATTTAACGGTTTTCCATTTTGCTCATTGTCATTCATTGCAATCCCATTATGACATAGTCACGTTCGGCCAATGAAACTTTCGACTGATCGGCTGTCGCCACTTTGATTGGCTGTCTAACAATCTGGATCGATTGAGGAGTGCCGGGGTGGCGTATGACTCAGATCCAGAACTTACAGGTCCCGAATGGACCTAGGATCTTGTGATGATTACAGGATCGGAGCCAATCAAGCCGGTCTTTGCACGTCAAGTGTGGCCCTAAAATGGTGATGGCTAAGCGATCAGGACAGCTGAATCGGCCGTATCTTTCTGTACGATCGGTGCGCCCTTGCCAGGGTAATTCGATTAATCACGTTTGGGTGACTAATTTTCAGCCCTGCTGGTGTCAAAGGCTAATGTGCTGTCTGCTCGTTTTCTTATGGCTTGATGGCAGCTGGCGGTTGTAGACGTGGCCCCGTGATAAACATATTGCAATACAAATCATCAATAAATTCAATCATATAACTTTTATTTTTACTTGTGAAAATAACACAATTAACGTTTTGTCGGTTGTCTTGGTCCCGAAATTTGGTTTAGCTGTTTCCTTGGTCCCGAAATTTGGTTTAGCTGTTTCTTGCCAGCTTTACGTTGATGTCGCTTCTGCCACCCCTGTGATACGGCGTACCCCATCTATGCGAGGGTGACGTGAAAGGAGCACTGCAATCTCAAAGTGCAGATCTGCGTGGGGGGGGGGGGGGGGAGCGTGCAGGCACTGCTGCTCGGGCCCCGTTGCTGGCGCTTTGGATTCAGATCGTATACTGCCGCTCACTACGGCTCAGGAAACCGGTGTCACTGGCTAATCCTGCGACACCGGTTTCCGTCCAGGCTGCGGCAAATCCTGACATCCCCTTTCTCCATGGCTCCACTGACGTCACGATCAAAGCTCCAATGACGTCACCGCTCACAATGACGTCACGCTGACGTCTCGGTGCCCCATTCCAGGGAGCTGGGAGATGCTGGCCTACTTCCATGGCCCGGTGCTGGTGCTGATGTCGGCTAATGTTGTCTTCTTCGTGCTGACGGCGCGTAACCTGCTGAAGACGGAGAAGGACACCCGGATGGCTGGCAACCAGAAGAAGGGCGCCGAAAGGTGAGGACGCTGTCCGTCTGCCTTAAGCGGCCTGCCTTTCGGATCGGCGGGTGGAAAGGGTGTTGCGACGGGCTCTAGGAGCTAGAGCTGACCCGTAGGCTTAATTTTAAGTGTGAATTTCGAGCCGTGTTTTTTACTTGGGATGCTTTGTTTGTCGATTTGCTTGTCGACATGCCGACACAAAGTCGCAGAAATAAATTGCACCTTGCAGTGCTTCAGCAGCCACGGTTGGTCTGCGACAGCGTTTAGGCAATCCGTAGTCACGTTCAAAGGGAGCGTGCCACATTTATATGAGGTTTTGAACTGAAATAGCTTGAAGCTCTTGAAGACATTTCGGTGCTGTTCACAATCCTGCCCGTCTTAAGACCTAAGCCCCTCTAGGTTCTGAGCTACACTCCCGCGAAAATGGGGAAGGTATATCGGGAATAGTCTTTCAAATTCACCGTGGCATTCATGACGTCAAAATAACGTCATTCAAAGCCTGCAGTTCCATAAGCCATGCGGTGATCAAGGCCAAGAAAATATAATTTTCGAGGATTTCATATCTGGCGTTCGCGTCCACGGTTTCCAGATATGACGGCCGTCAATTGGCTGTCGATCAGTGTTGTTCAAGGTACGGTGACGTAACGCATTGAAGAGCATATTTACTCGACAGAGAATTGTACCGTCTAAAGCAGTCTTTTCCGCTGAAAATTTTTACCAAAAGTGATAAGGGAGCTTGTTTCATCATACCTGGCGCCTGCTTCAATATTCTCAAACGTGAAATATTTTTGAAGGTATATGCATTACGCACATATGAGATCCCTAATCATCAGCTCGGGTCGGGGTACTATGACTACAGTGGCTTCGCACTGACCAACCCTTCAGTCTCTGATGTCGCTCCAAACGCGACCCCCCCCCCCCCCCCCCCCCCTCCAACTACTAGCCGGGTGTCCAGCCCAGTCTGCAGCGCGATGCTGCCGAGTTCGTTAGCCGTTTTTGGAAGTTACGTCTATGTCTATTCGGCGTTGCTTCTGCCTTCGCGTGCACGAATCACAACCATGATAGCGACGCAAAGCACGCCGCACGGATCGCCGACCACGCGTGGATTGCTCAAGGGGCGCAGCAGAAATTCCCGTGGTGAATACTGAACGCGAACATTAAACCCGGTTTTTTATTCACCGACGCGGCAGGCCTCTCTCTTCTCTGTCAATATTGCGGCAGGGCTGGCGCGGACGAGGGCAGCTGGGTTCACTGTGTGCAGGGAAAGGGATTGGGAGGTCCGTGGCCCAACCTTTGGCCGTAACCCTCACTGCTCTTGTGCAAGCCTCGCAGCGGGCGGCGCTGAGATTGCGGGAGATAGCGCCAGACACCTGTGCGGTGGGCACCTCACGGGTAGCGGTGTGGTGCAGCTCGAGCAACGACGTAGAATTCTTGCTAAACTCAGCGTCGTTACTGGGTCAGAAGCGCTGCTGGCATGGCGAAAACAGAACCTTAATCGCACCTGCCGTTAAGTTTCATGGAGCTCTCCTGTTTACATTTGGTAACCTTACCAGATCCTGGTCACACCCGGAACCACGTGATGCTGCCCCAACGCACCTACGCCCCCCCCCCCCCCCGCCACATCTTCCATCCCCAACTACAGTTGGCCCATGGCACGAGGTGAACTGCCAGGCCCCGCTGACAGTGACTGGTAAGTGCAGGCGAGCTTCGTGACTGGCTGCCAGGTTACGCTTGGGATTTCCGCCGCCCGTCAGTCCGCCTCACCGCTGGAGCCGTTGTCATGGTGACCAGCGTCGGCTGCGGAGAGGCAGGCAAGGCGAACCTCCAAAATAGCATCATCAGACCTGTGGCGCTGGGAAATGCCCCGTATTGGTGGCAGGCTCTCAGGCTGTCGAGGTCGGCCAGCTGCAGACCATTGACCCACGCTGCCATCGGGATCAGGCGCTGGGGTTCATCAAAGACACAGGGATGGTATCTGCATGAACGCAGGAATTTCGTGACATATGTAGCGCTCGCAGCTCGCCTCATGTCAAAACTCTCCCGAGGTCCAGCCTCATTACCGCCGCTGGCGTCCCCGTCAACATTCACGAGCTTCGGCGAACCGGACTAAGCCGGAGTTCTCCGCCGCAGGTTCAAGATTTACGTCAACCTTTTCATCGTGATGGGCATCACGTGGATTGCAGAAGCACTCTCCATCCACCTCGGACCCAAGGAGCTCTGGTGAGTTTGGCAGATGCCAGAAACTCTCACCTCGAAAGTTGACGCACAATTTTCCAGGCTTTTTCCAAACGCACCGGAAGTGGTCAATTATGTTATCCCCCCGTGAAGTAATGTGTCGCTGTCTCACTGATTTCATCCCCTGGCTGCGCCTTTGTTTGGTGATGCCAAGGCTGCGTCTGCACGTTGTGCTAGATGGCCTACTAGTGCCAGTCTTGCACTATTTGCATTACGTTATGTACTATATTTGCGACAATGGTGGACGTGAGTCATCTCAGAGAAAACGAAAACAAGAACCGATCAAAAGAATAGCCAATCCAAGCGAACGACTCGTTGGAAAATGCAGAAGGTCCCTTCGCACTGATAAGCCGTCCAACACAGACAAACCCCCGGAAATGTTCCAAGCTTTGGCGGTTCGATGGATCCTCTTTTTTGTCGCTCGTGAGTTAAATAACTCTCCATTTCTCCAGCTGGCTTATCGCATGGGCCTTGCTAATGCTATGCCGGTCTGCTGTGTAACCCGGCCTACGGACCATCAAAACACTCATCCGGAAGATCACATCACATGGGGTTCGCGAGCCGTATGATTCAGATGGTATCAAAATAGCGGAGAAAGATAATGACAGCATATGCACGAGCAATTCACTGGAAGGATTTGGCAGCGGATTGCGTGCACGCCCACCATGCATGTTCTCTAAGCTCTATCGTAAGTGCGGTCGGAAATCACCACGTTTCGCGGTCGCCTCAATTTTTCGACAACACTGCGTCACACAAAGGATGCACTCGACGTCGATAACTTCTGCGCTATGGATGTCCGAGTGAGCAATGTATGCAGGAACGCACAGTCAAAGTCGCAAGCACCTGGCGACAGCGCCACGCCTAGGAAAGTCGCACAGGTAGCTAGATAAGCTGCCAAAATGGATGGAGTGGGCACTTAATGTGCTTGAGCTCGATAAGCTGTCACCAGACACAATGTTCTGAATTTCGCTGTAGCCCTCTTCCATTCCGTCCACGCACGCACATTTCATTCGTTGGGATCTCCAGGGGATTTTCCAGCAAATTGATCGCAGCTGCCTAAGCGCTCCAATGCTCGCCCATTGATAGCAGACAAACCGCCGCTTTCTTTCGCGAGGCTCAGTCTTAAACTTACTAGGAAATAGCGGGATGGTCGAGTGGGTGGAAACCCCAGAAAAATACGGCTCGACGTCCAACAGCCGTCGGTGCTGCTTTCCGAACAAATTGTGGGTGCCCAAATGCATGCTAATTTTCGAATCCTTGTGATTTTCTAAGTCCCGTTGACGCGAAAGTTGATCTGCCGATCCAATAATTTTGTCCGTTTATGGTTTCGTGATCTTTCCGCTAGTGAAAGCTTCGCGCCCCGTGAGCGTTGTGAAGTGTTATCAGTGACAATACTAAGCGTCATCGCGTTATGTACAAGTACCTGCAGACACCAACGCAATCCACACGCTTCAGTTCCGTGGTTGCGGAGGCGCGCAGGTCAAGTGTGGAAGGTATAAGCGCACAGGTGATGCGTGGTTCACAAACCGGGGGTGCGCGCAGGCCGTGCCGCGCGTGCAAGCATCTATCATAATTGGAGAACCCGTGACGACTTGCGCCAACCTACTGCACTGAGGACATATGTCTCCGTGTCCAGCCTCCGTGTCCAGCCTCAGTGCTCAGCCTAAATGTTCAGCCTCCGCATCCAGCCTCAGTGTCCAGTCTGTGTTCAGTCTCAGTGTCCAGCCTCAGTGTTCAGTCTCAGTGTCCAGCCTCAGTGATCAGTGTCAGTGTTCAGCCTCAGCGTCCAGCCTCAGTGTCCAGCCTCAGTGCTCAGCCTTAGTGTCCAGCCTCAGTGCTCAGCCTCAGTGTCCAGCCTCAGTGTCCAGCCTCAGTGTCCAGCCTCAGTGTTCAGCCACAGTGTCCAGCCTCAGTGTCCAGCCTCAGTGTCCAGCCTCCGTGTCAAGCCTCCGTGTCCAGCCTCAGTGTCCAGCCTCAGTGTTCAGCCTCAGTGTCCAGCCTCAGTGTTCAGCCTCAGTGTTCAGCCTCAGTGTCCAACCTCAGTGTCCAACCTCAGTGTCCAACCTCCTTGTTCAGCCTCGGTATTCAGCCTCCCAGTTACTTCATACGTGGTCTCATGCGACATTGAGTGTCAAATGCTCTTCAATCCACCTGACCTCGTCGCTTGTCTAAATCGAGTGCAGACCCAGCCCGTATCATGTGATGTCGTTTGATTCAATCGAATCCAGTCGACGCAGTGGAATGGACTGAACACCGCGGTGTTGAGTAGCCGGCCATAAGTCATAGCCCACGACGTGCTCCGATCACAGAAGCGCTGCCTGATGTCAGGAAGGCTCCTGGACTGATATCACACCCATCCTGACAGCGTCCCGTGAAGCGCTGCCTGATGTCAGGAAGGCTCCTTGGTTGACATCACACCCATCCTGACAGCGTCCCGTGAAGCGCTGCCTGATGTCAGGAAGGCTCCTGGACTGACATCACACCCGTCCTGACAGCGTCCGGTGAAGCGCTGCCTGATGTCAGGAAGGCTCCTGGACTGACATCACACCCATCCTGACAGCGTCCCGTGTGCCAAGTTTGCTTCTTCCTAACGGCATGCCTGCCACAGGTTCGTCACGGACGTCATCAACAGTCTGCAGGGCTTCTTCATCTTCCTGCTGTTTACGCTACGCCAGAACACGCGTAAGACGATCCGTCGACACATGTCGGGCACGAAGCTCGGCCGAAGCTGCACCTGCTGTTGGCCGGCCGACGTGGCCGACAGCGCCCCCTCGTCGCGCAAGACCGGCTCCTCCTCTATGCCCTCGAACGGGTCCAAGACGAGCTCACGAAAGGTGGCCGACACCCCCAACTAGGAGTGGTTTGTCGGACGCGAGGCAGAGTCGCTCGCCGCGGTCGGTCATGGGAAGGGGCGGGGTCGCTCGCCGCGGCCGGTCAAGGGAAGGGGCCGGAGGAACCTCCGTGTGTGTTGCATGCTTGTGATGATATGGCGCGAAGCGCGCTTCCCCTATAGTGCGTCGCATGCGCGGCGGAAAGTCGTCGTGGAATCCGGTGTTCACTGTCACATTCCGCGAGGCGCGAAACTGGTGTTCGGTGTCATGTTCGCCTTTCGCATGGGCTCGGTGCAGTAACCCGCGCACTGCGCTCGGCACAGTAGACCACGCGCCTGCAAAACAGCAAAAGTCGCTTCTGGTGTAGTTGCCACTCCTCGATGTTCATTGTCAGTGTCCATATACACCTCCCCGAACCGTTTATGGTTAAGATGCGTACCGTGGGAACTATGCGTAGCGAACATCCCATGCAAGGTGCCTGGTGGGTGAATGTACCTAACACACGCACCTCGAGTTGACACGCCACTACAGCTGTGTGCCAGCATTATTCGTTTATGTATCCGGGCATATTGATAAGATTAGCGTTCGGATTCGCTTCTGGCGAGACTTCTGCTTCATCTGTAATTATTCAGCCAGTGTTCGTGACGTCGTTAGTCCCGGGTGGCGCCGTACTGTGGCGAAGCCCTCTGTGTAATGTATTTATCTGAGAAAGCGCGCCGGACTCTAATCACAGCACGAGCCATCAAACACGACGCCTGCGTGCCTAGAAGTTCCGTTCTATACAAGGAACCAGTGGAGTGATCTCGTGACTTGGTGATTTTTACTTGATCTTGACGCCCTGTTCGGATGAGGTAGTGCTGCGCTACCCCTGCAAACGCAGCGAGATACGGTGTGGGTGCCACTGCGTACAGGCGAGAAATGAAGAAGACACTGACACTTGACGTTTCATAACAGAACGTGCGCACTGGTTTCTACTAACATTGCTGGAACCTATTGACCTTTGGCATAGCTGTTTGTAGATGATCACATCTGCAGGCTGCATAATGTGCGAAATGTGAGTGAAAAATATTTGTGATGTCATCATATTCATCCAGTGGCGTAGTCGGGATTTCGCCGAGCACAGGCCGTAGGTCATAGGAACCTCTTCCCTCAACGGCCCCTCCTTGAGATTCGGAGGAGCATTTAGGTTCGAGGTCGTGTTTTGATGTATCGGCGCCCTTGCTATGCTTTAGAATCATTGTGTGTATGAAATTGCCAAAAGCCATTGGGCCTTCGGCCCAACGCCCCGTCACCTCCAGGAGGAGGGTCTCATGGCCCTTAAAGTTCCCCTTGACTAAGCCGCCGGCATTGCTCCCCATGTTTCCACCGGGCGGCAGCGCAGTGGACAGTCGCCGACCGGTCCGTTCATGCCGCTGCTTGCCTGCTGTGCGCCCGGCCCCACGCCGCCGCTGGCGGGCGCGCCTCGTGTCACCGCCGCGCCACCAGCGGACCCGTGCTCGGGTCGCTGGCGGGCCCGTCTTACTGTGCAATACACGTGTCTGTGGATGTAACGGAGGTCATGAGCAGCTAGAGTGTGGAGCAGTGGACGCTCGAGGGGCGCCGGTCGGACGAGCGAATCGCTTGACACCTGGAGTACGTCACACCCGGAACGTGTGACAACCGCAGCCCGTGACACCTGGGGACCATGACACCCGGAGCGTGCGACACCCGGATCACGTGACACCCGGAGCGCGTGACGCTCGGAGCTCGTGGCACTCGCGGCGCGTGACAACCGCAGCCCGTGACACCCGGGGCCCATGACACCCGGAGCGCGTAACACACAGAGGGTATCCCGAGAGCAGAGCGTTGACCAATGCAATGTTCGGAGGCACGCCATTGTAAGGTACTGCGCGTCATGAGATGTACTTGTATGATTGCGCATCAAAGGGAGCATCCCACCCTTTTGCACTTTCCACCATGGGCGTAGGAACAGGAGGGGGGGGGGGGGCATGCCCCTCCCCACTTTTCAGGGTGGGAGGCCAGCAGTGTTAACTGCCCCCCCCCCCCCCCCACTTTTCAGATTAATGTTGTTTTTAGCCTACTTTTGCCCCACATTTAAATATACATGCCGATTTAACTAGCTCACCATCCATGTTTCTCAAGATGGGTTACCTTTTTCGTATGCTTATTGGCCATCGCCAAATATCCCAGCAGGTCGACGCCACGCGGCCTATGGAGACTGCAACGCCGGGTGTTTAGGCCGTTGCCTGCGAGCGCGTATGTTTAAAACCATATTACATAGTTTTTTATCAGTGATCAATTTTGACTTAATCCTGAACATTTTAGAACGAACATGGATCAGCCATGTTAATACAAGCTTAGGACCCCATTTCATCTACAATCTATGTTCAGGCATTTCTAAAAAAAAAATAGAAAAGCACGGAACTGGAGCCTGTGTGACAATTATTGGACCACCTTTGGCGATCAGGGATGTTATTGCGTCAATGAGGGTTTCTGTGCTGGTCCGGGGCCAATTGCGCAGGTCAGAAGGCCTCCCGTGTCAGGGGGGGGGAACAATGTGACATCATATATCCTTATAATGTCTTCCGGATCGACCAGGAGATCCCGCCCCGTGTCGCCAGAATGAGAGCCAGAAGACGCTTCGCGATGGGACAAGCAAGTGGCCCCTCAGCTCTTGAACGGAACCGGTAATGTGCCCTTGGTGTTCTACTCAAGGGGCCTCTTGCCCGGAAGGAAATAAGGGGCCTCATTGTTGTTGAGTAGAGTGGCGGTCTCATTATTGTTGAATAGAATAGGTCGAAATAAATTTTTAAAAACGAGTAAGACCATCCCATGTTTGCCAAAAACGCTCATTTTTCAGCATGGATTTGTGAAAAGTGTATTAAAAGGTTTGAACATGCCCTCCCGCAGCCTCGAGAGCAAGTACAGCGATGGTCTGGGTTGCAGCGTCCGTAAACTGGACGGCGTCGGCCACTGCAAGTGACACCAGGCGGCGGGTGCCGTGTTAATCTGCCTTCTGGACGGATCGATAGTTACAGAAACACGAAAAATAGAGGATCTGCCTTTACTCTTCCAATTCCACCATCAGATTCCAGTACCACTTCGCGGTGCCCTAAGGGCCAATCTGTTCTTATCATCGGTCTAAAAATCCCACACGTAAAATATGCGTCCAGACTGCCTTGTAGATGTAAGATTTGATGTCCTAGAGCATTCAAAAGTACCTCCTTCAGAAGCGTCATCATTTTGGTCCACCCGCTGGCCAAGACTCAGTATTAGTTGTAGAACCAGCGCTGCGCGGCCTACGGAGACTGCGACGCCTGGCGTCGAGGTTTTTTAAGCTAAGATTTGCGAGTACGCACGCTCAAAATTATGTCACATTATTTTTATTACTAGCCGATTCAAGTGTTTAAAGGTAATTATTTAGGAACCGTTATCATTTTCGTCCACCGGTGTATGACAAAGCGCCTGAGTTCTATCGGTTTAGAAAGAGTCTGATAAGCCATGGCAAATTAAGGGCACCGGTGACTTATTCCATGCGGTCCTTAAACGCCTGATTTCTGCAGTTTATTGACCTTAACACGCGCTCGGGTGGGGGGTCAAATTGATTCGCTACCCGAAGGGTTTTCCAGCAAGGTTTCCGAACGGCGCGGCGCAGGCGCGCCATGTTTTGCATAGCTGTAGAAAATCGAATAGAGGATCGTTTAGCAAAACACAATTAAGATGTACTTTTTAAGGTCGCTGGCCTATGGCAGATCAAAGTCAGGCCATAGTTTTAGCAAAGTCAACTTCTAGTGAATCGTTCAATCTGATGCATCATTGGAGTATCAGACGAAGCCATACATCTATGAGATGCCGTCTTAGGCAATACAAATATTGCATGAACAAATTACGTTGACCTAAGGTGAGGTGTAGAGATCAGAACAAGGTCAAAACCAACCTGTTTTCTTACTCTAGGGCTTGCTGTATGTGATAGTTCCTGGTGCTCATTTCGAATTTATTGATAGCAGAAACCGCATTATGCGTATTCCATGGCCTGCTTAGAGGTCAGAATAGGTCATTGACCCAAAATGATCTAGGTCAACATTTTGTTTTTAGAAAAGTACTGACTAGTGTAACCTTTGTCGCTTATTCAAATGCAAAACTCAGAGCAGTCTTGTATGACTTTGGTCACTATGACCTTCAAAAAGTCAAGCAAGGTCACTGATCTTAAATGAACATGTGACCTTTTGTCTACAAACAGTTATCTAGGTTCAGGGTGCACTTTAGAGACCAACCTGGAATCTGACCTTGTTTAATTTTATTTGACTTGAAAGTCATGACCTAGGAACTTCAAACTTTGACCTAAGAAAGTTCACGTACAGGTCAACACACCCTATGAATTTGGTGTCTTCAGCTCCCCTAGTTCCCGAGATCTCAGTGGGTCAGTGGGTCCTCACCCGAGCGAAGGGTATCTAGCCGGCCACCCGGGCGCGTGTTAAAAATGTGAACAGAATTGATTTCACGGTAGCTGCTGGTTTCTGTTCTGGTTGCAGCGTAAAAATACAATGAAACGAAGAAAACCGTATCCCTTGTTAACAAGCAAACTACATCCGGGGATATCTTTTTGTGGGGGGTCACCATACACGGGGCTTTTGTCAACCCTGTGTTCCTCTTAGCAAGGTTCTGGCTACCCCCGGCCTACACAGAGAAACAGATCAAGTCATCTACGTTGAATGATGGGCGATTAAATATCCGTTTGGCCAATTCATACCTTAAGTAAACAGCTTTCCGGTGGCATAATCTGGGGTAAGGTTGCGTTAAGGAAGATAATTCGGAAAAAGATACTGTTGTAGATGTCCAACACATGTTTTACATCCTAATTAGTAGGAATGCTGACCCAGAAGTGTGCAACAAAACAGCCATACCATCACTTCGCGGTCAGCCATTCGTAGACAGCCGGGCCAGGACAGTGGCCACCGACGGGGACGGGAGCAGAGCTCAGACAAGGAATATATGACAGAAGGGCCTTCATCCTGTGGATTGAATTTCAAAGGAGAATCTCCAGTTCTATGGCTTTTGTCACATGGTTTTTGGAAGTTTCAAGCTTCCGAATTTGTTTTCGTCTAAAATGCCGTGACAAGTCTTATCTCTGGAAAACCAGCCAGCGAAATGAACGCGCACGCAAAACCTGTTGTACTGTGAGCCATCCATTCACTTTGAAAATTCTCACCAGCCTATGCTCAGGCCATATTTTGGCATCTACCCTGTGGAGGCAGACGCCTCCTCAGTGACCCAAAATGCCTACCCGCTCGTGGAATTTCGGCTTCCCAGGACAGACAACGTTGAAATGGACGAATTACCTTGAGAAGCTGGAAAGCCTTATTTCTCGAATGACATAGATGAGTTGGATAGGCAAGAGTGTGCACCAGTGAGAAACAGCTCTAGATGCATATCTAGAATAGCAGTCATTACAATAGGAGCAGTAACCTCCATTCCCCCCCCCCCCCACCCCACCCTTCCCCCTGTCGTCGGGCTTGTTTTCCAGAAAAAGTTCCTGAGGTACGCCCTGAGCTTGGCTCACCCCCACCTTTTGAAATTCCTTCGCCTGTGCTTTTTACTTATTGTTACATCAAACGCATGCGATTTGGTCACTAATATCGGTTTTCTCGGAATCTTGATTAGCTCAGAATTTCGATTTGAAGTAGCCGGGCCTGCGGGCGAAATCTTCTTTGGCTTCCTGCACGCCACTATGGAAGTAATACGTTTCATTTGCCTTGCATTTTCCAGTGCGTGTGTTCTGTAATGTTTGCTAAACACTAATGTGTCAAAATGTTTATGTGATAAATACAAAGAAAGCTTGAAACACCCCGCCCCACGCGTAGGTTTCGAGTGCTTGCAAATTTACGCGAACCATTCACGGAGCAGCGACCATTACCCTAAGGCGGAATAGGAAATAAGTACTTACTCATGTGGGCAAGAAAGCCTCGTCTCCGCCGCGATGCACCGCGCAACCCGGAATGGAAGGCACATCACCACATATGCATTTTACCTCGGTGTTGCAACAGCTACCCTGGGCGATGTCTTGTTTCAATCCACAAAGCTGCCCCATCTACAATGCGTACGCAAAGTCTGACAGAACCAGAAAAACACGCTTTATTGTCTCACGTAGCATGCGTTCTCAATCTGGCTGCGAAACAGCTAGTTCTCATTACCCTTGTTGAATGAAGTGTTACTTATTATTACAGCCAAGTGACGGTGGATGGCCTAATGGAGTAATTCTTTTGAGTATTCCACAACTGTCAAAAAACTTGAGTCCCGTTGCGCCAAATGTGAAATCTTCGCCACCGGTAGTGGAATACGACCCTTGCTTCGTATAAGCCACAAACAATGGCGACTAGAGAATAGAACAGAATCCACCCGTATTGCAAATCTGACTTTTCATCCGCAACTACCGGCACTCGGTTACCAGGATGTTTGAAGGGTGGAATAGCGTCACCAAATGAAACGTTTCCCTAGCTCTGCGAGGGCATTAGAATTAAAAGCAGGGGCATCAAGCAC